AAATAGGATCTAACAAGGAAAAATTGTATTTATGAAATATAAATAGGCAGAAAAATGGTTCGTTTCGCCTCTGAACATCATACAAACCAGTGTCTTTCGTCCTTCCCCGAAGTTCATCAGTGATGTAGGGAAGGACGAAAACAATAATAAAAACGATAATCGAGGACTGCACGCTCGAATGGGGCAGGGCGGAGCTAGCGACGTAGGGTCCCGCAACGAATACCTGGCGCCGGCCCAAACTGTTGGCAAATTGCCTCTGCCAGGAGGTAGGAATCAATAGCGCCATTCATCGTTGGCCTCACCAGCGGAATTTCTGCATTTCGGCATTTCTGCACATTCCGCATTTCTGCGTATTCCGCGGTTTTTGAAATCGATAGACACACTTTATTCTTCTGCAAGTTCCGCGGTTCTCCCATTTAAGCATGTCTGCAAATTCCGCAGTTCTGCACATTCCGTGGTTCGACATTTCTGCATCATGTATGAGCGCGGCCTCACGGTTTCTTTTTTTTTCTCGTTATACTTGTCGGTTTCACTTGCAGTAAGTTGGGTAGCGGTATGTTACTAATGAGTTTCTGATCTTATCTTTGATGCACCCAGTGTAGTTTTATCAGTGGAACTGCTTCAGTTGCTTTTAGTGCAAAGAAATGGATTCGAACCCCGCTTTACTGCGCGAGGTCCGCCTTTACGAGAACCACAGTGAAAGAGAGCAAATGGAGAATATGAGTGAACTGTTCGCAGTGCTGAACGCTCTCGAGTGCTTGGAAAAAATGTACAGCAGGGATTACATTTCTAACGAGGAATATAAAGTCGAATGTTTCAAGTTATTGGATCAGTATAAGGTCAGTGATTTTTTCTTTCTTTGTAGCCGATGGAAAGTACAGTGGTTTATTACTTTAGGTAACGATGCGTTTAGTTCACGGCACAAATGTGGAAGGTTTCGCCTCGAAGTATCGCCTGCACTGCCCCGCTGCACTGGAACGGATTCACGAAGGACGTCCAATAACTGTCAAAGACGACAAGGGGAATGTTCTGAAAAACATTGCCGTAATTGTAGAGGTAGGTCAAGATTGTGTGGTAGCAATTTGAAGTGGGCCTTACAGTGCCACATTTATGTGTTAATAAATCCGATACCTCCACTATGGTGGCATCGGCGTACTCAACGCTCTCGGGTTGTGCTCTCTAAGCGCGCGGCGCGAGCATGGTGATACGCCTCTTCTTGTCGAAAGCACGTTTTGTACGCCGTTTCGTTGGTGTTTGCAGGTGCTGCTCGTGCGCAGTGTTGTGAGTTTGCAATTAAACCTGTCGATTGTTTTCAAACACAAATGGAGACACTTTGTGCTTCTGGTTGACTGCATTTTTAGCACGGACGCCATTTGGCGCCATCACCCTTTCCGCCAAAAACTATACAAACTTGCTGGTTCACAAGAGTTACTCGGTACCCTGATTACGAAAAGGACACTCATTTTCGGCGCTAGACTCGGAACACGCACATGGTTACCCAGTACCACTTGGGTAGTACATTGATACATAGTTCGTGTAACATCGAGGATGAAAACCTAGTTGAGAGCCTAAGAATAAAGATTTAATCGTTTAAAATGCTATTATCTACAAAGCCTTGGCTGATGTAGAAAAACAGGCGCTCTCTTTTGCTTTATCCTTTCTTGATCTACCTACCTCGCGTGGAAATGTCCAGAATTTAAGCTCTTCCTCTCTTCCTAAAAATAGGCCTCGCTTCCTTAGGCATAGTCCAGAGCTTCTGAATCTAGGAATGAACCAATTCGCGAAAAGAGTTGGAAAGGTATCGATAGATACTACTGATCGGACGGAACAATCGGTGAGTGTCCACGCGGTTCCTGAAGTTTTCGCGATGGCACAGGATTCGTCCGCACAGTTCGCCCATTCCCCATATAGATACGTACCTCTGATCCTTTTCTCGGGAGCGCCGAATTCCTTCCTTGTGAGCATATCTTTATAAAAATCTAAATCTATAAAGAACCCAACTTTTACATGCGACTTTTTGAATCGTTGATCGCCGGGAAACTGAATGATTCCCCTTGGCAGATGTAGCCGTAGCACGTGAAGTTATCCTCATACACATACAATTGAAAAACAAACAAATTCGTTCGCTGCTAGTCTTCTCGTGGTGTGCCGTGAATAAACGACGAGTTTGCGTTAATCGTTTACATATATTCTACATTTGATTGTGATTCCAGCGCACGCGCATTATTTCTAGCTAAGCATGATAAAATACGAAAAATAGCTGGTCAATACAAGATTAAGCTGATATCGGATATGTTCATCAACTTTGTTTACCAAGCACTTTTCCTGCTAATTCCTTTCTACATATCAAGTTATTCTTTTACGCCTATAGATTGTGATTGTTTGTTATTAGCAATTCTTAAGGTTTTCATCACATTTTTCGACCAGCTCAAATTGAATGTTCGCGCTGTAGATGAACTCTTCCCCAATTTAAACGAACTTTATACGTCAATTAATGCGATGAGTAGCTTACCAGAAGACTTTGATGGACGTGCGAAAGTGAAAGCATGGTGAGTTCTAAATAGAAAACTTCTTCAAGAATCTGTGAAATCTTTTCTAGGCACGACCGTCTTTCTACAATGTCAGCCTCTGAAGAAATTACTGACGAAGAAGCTCGTCAAATGATTTTCGAGCTTGAGGCCGCCTATTCGTCTTTCATCAAGTTTCTACATACGCAGCAACATTAATAACTTCTTTATTCATATTTCTGTAAATAAATTAAGCTTCACATGGAGGACGACGCGTTGACTTCTGTGAAGAAGGAGAATTGGACATCACGAGCTATGTGGCCCACCAATTCAGAGATAGCAACGCGGGGAACGGCGGCCTGCGATTTGTGTGTCTCTCACAGTCACCGATCACAACCACCTCCACAGGTTGCATACCTTTGAACAGCGACCACCTGGGTTAAATGCGACTGATTGTACATGGGTTTACAATTTCATCAGAGCATATTTATGCTTTCGGCTAACCCTTGAGATGACCACTCGTCCGTCATATGATAGTGAGGCGAATGTCCATGGATCAGCTGCTGCCCAAACACATGCGTACCTAGAAATGAATATTAGTTCAAAGTGATCTGATCAAAGGTGCAATTCTTAACACTGCAAATGGGGTACGCATAGCTGCAGCAGAGCTGTGTAGTAGCAGTCCTCATGGGTGTAGCTCAGCAGCTCCGAGTCGTGGCAGCAAATTTCACGTGTGCAGAATTAGCATGGCACCAGAGCCGAGTGCGTTCATGGTTTGCTGCAGCGTTTCGAGCGTCTGTCGTCGTTTTAAGCGCTTTCAGCGACGAGGGAAGTGCAGACATCGATGTAGCGTTTTGAGCGTACGCCAACGTTTTCATCGATATTCGATATTTATACCTCCGTAGTCGCTCGAAACGCTAACACATGGTATGAATGCACTTTACTTATGTCGCAGAATGTCTAAAGAGGAACGTTCCGTTACTTTGCGCGCGATGTCGTCGACTCGAATCTCTTAAACTACCACGAGCCGCTGCTCGGAATTTGCTCCGAAGCGTCGTTGCTCGAGACACATTGGCCGGTACAGAATGCACGCCTCAGTGAATTTATGCTCGGTGGAAATATTCTTCCAACATTCACGAAAGAATTATATGTGTATCACTGCTCCAAAATATCGACCATTATCTGCCGATTATGATGGATGCACGAGTTTGTTTGTGTTTTCACGAGCTCTGATAAAAGTTTGGCTTGTGAAAGTAGCTGGACTTGCAAGGCTCGAATCAACACTCACAATACTTACAATGAGTGGGAAGAAGAAGTCTATAAACGTACACAGACTCTTCATGTTCTTCTATTCGCTCCAACTGACCATCTTCCAGTTTATCAGTTCTTTCATCATCTGCAGGGTCATCCAAACCCAAATCGCCTATTTCACTACTCGCAGAAAGGACACACGACAAAACGACCGTGGCGTCACTTCCAGCGGACAGAATCAGCTGGTCGTGAACAGGGTGAAATCGAACCTGAAAATTGAATCAGAAATTTAATGTGTCAGGTGCTGTCAAGGCGTCATTACTGGAGAAGATCGTGAAGCCACTAGGCTTTTCTATTTGTACAGTAGTAAATCAAAGCTGACCTGCCAAGCCCAGTGCGCATGTGGGGTCACGGTCAATAATGTAGTGTTAGGATTTCGCCAATCCCACAATCGGACGGCACCATCATCGCCGCAAGAGGCTATGCTGAACAACTGATGAGACCAGTAAAAAAAACCACGAGAACTCAATAATAGAGCACTCACATGTGTTGGAGATTGGGGTTGAAGTCCAGGTGCAGCGCGCGATGAGCATGAGCATCTCTGATTCGGAGTGACTCTCTGGAGCAGCTCTTATGACCTTTCATAGCAGTATCGTCCAAAAGTTTGGAAATAGCTTCCGCGAATGACCAACATACAGAGCCTTCAGTGTACTAAGGTAGGTGCTGTCCGTGATCGCACAGCATGTCTCACTTCACCGACTCGACTGCACAAGATTATAAGTTCAGTTTGTCAGGCTGCGTACAGTACCTCCGAAAATTGCGCGTGAAGTTAAAAAGTCGCGTCGTGAATCCACGCGATTGGGCGTACCAAACCTTTAATTACCCAAGTTTGAGTTATGTTTAATAGCTCGTATTCGGCTTTTGCACACCCCGGCTGATGTACGCTTCATCTGCAGCCCCTACACTAGGGCACGTCGTTGTAGGCGAACGGAGGGAGTCGTATTGGGGCCGTAGAAATTTATACCACTTTCACTTCACCCTTTTTCGAACCAAATTCACCCTCACTTTTCACATCAAATTAACCACACTTACTAGGGCGGGCAACTCATCAACCATATCACGCCAGACGTCACTGCGAGCCCCGCCCCGACGGCCACGCCCATTTGTCAGCGTGGACATAGATTCTGAAATCTTGTTTCATGACTTCTGCTTCTGCTGTTTCCCACAAAAATTTGACTGGAAACGACCGGGCATTAACACGTGGCCGACTGCCCATTCTCTAAAGGGATTGGCAATCTAGGCTGACCACGCCCACTTGCTTTTCGCGGACTTTCGATATTTTTTTCAAAATTTTTGCATTTTAGGGCTGCTGCATGAAGCCTCGCCCACTGTGAGAGGCTCCGCCCACTTTGAAGAAGCCCCGCCCACTTAAAATGGTGGAAATCGGCAGTAAGAGACTTGCCTTGCATGCTAGGGTCTCCCTCGTCACTCGGCCTAGCATGCAAGCCAGGGCTCCATACTGCCAATTTGAACCATTTTCTAAAAGTGGGCGAGGCTCCTTCGAAGTGGGCGGAGCCTCCCACAGTGGGCGGGGGTTCACGCATCAGCCCTCAAATGCAAAAATTTTGAAAAAAAATATCGAAAGTCCGCGAAAGGCAAGAGGTTGTGGTCAGCCTAGACTACCAAACCCTTCAGAGAATGGGCGGAGTCAGCCATATGTTAATGCCCGGTCGTTTCAGTCAAAGTGTTTGTGGGAAGCAGCAAAAGCAGAAGTTATGAAACAAGATTTGAGAATATGTTCGTGCTGACAAGTGGGCGTGGCTGTCGGGGCGGGGCTCGCAGTGATGTCTGGCGTGATCTGCTTGATGAGTTGCCCGCCCTAATAAGTGTGGTTAATTTGATGTGAAAAGTGAGGGTGAATTTGGTTTGGAAAAAGGTGAATTTAAAGTGAAAATTGTATATTTCGATAGTTTTTGTCTCGCTTCACGGACGTTGTAAAATGGAGAGGGGAGGTTCTGGCCGATCTAGGCGTGGTGGTTGACTTTTCGTGATGATTTTTCTGTTTCATGTACTACACACCCTCCCCCCACCTCGACGGCTCAATTCAAAGGAGGGACGGACGGCTGGGGGGGGGGTCGTACCACCCCCCCCCCCTCCCTCCCAAAAAAAGGGGAGGGGTCCTGTGGACTCGACCAAAAGCCCAAACCAATGATATGCCCGGCGCACCCTTTAAAGACACATGGTACGCTCAAACACGATTGGGGGTGTATGAGACTATCAGCCCACCAGCTGTCGATGTGTCGTGGACCCCCGCCCAAAACTGCGCGAGGTCAGAGTACGGGACCGTGGGAAAGTCGTGATTTCTTGCCACGCCGCCCGTTTTTGCAAACTCACGTTTTTACTAACACCGTCCGCGCGCCGCGGTCGCGTGCAGCTCTCTTGGCTTTTTGCCAGTTCCTGTAATTGCGCTTTGGAATACAGGTACACGCAATTTCTTTATGCGGATAACATTTTAGGTTCTGCAAAATAAGAACTGAAGATGATGACGAGGGTTAGAACTCAAGAGCAACTGTGCTGCGGACGGGACGGGACGGAATGCTTCTGCAACGGGTATGTGACAAGAGGATCGTAATTTGCCGTGCTCTGAGCGTCGCGTGCGACGTCCCGCCCGCAAGGGACGATGGTTTCAGGCAGTAGATGGCGACAGCATGCCTTAAGGACCGAAAACAGTAGTGAGTGTCTACAATAACGGGGTCTACATGAAGTCCGGCGCTTCATTCGACAGGTTAAAACGAGTTATGAAAACGCCGCGCCCATGTGGCGGTGCGGCGAATTACGATCCTCTTTACCGTCTCCCTTCTGCAACAGACCTCGCAGGCCGCGCATTCCCACAAAACATCAAAATAAAAACGGCCTAAGCGTCCCACTCGTTAGTTTGAAGTATTTCTATAGCATTAGAGCCGGATTCGAGCCGGATCGCAGAAAAGCAGACGCGATTATTATTTGTTGCGTTTCCTTAGTTTTTTTTTCAAATTTTGTTTTATTTACATCTAAAATCGTTGTTATTCATTTCTAGCCTTTGTCAGGCGGAGGTGGTGTAGTGACAAGTGGCGCGCTTACCACTCGCGCGGTCCTGGGTTGAATCCCAGGCCGACACCCGCCCAGGCCAACCAAGCCTTCTACCCTCCGGGGACGGTGAATTGGTACCAGATTCGTCTGGGAGGATAAAACACTGACTTGTACATCGGCTGGCCCCCGCAAGTCATTGAATAGGCCACATCGCATTCAATAAGCCACTACGATTCTGAATGGAAGTAGAATGCGTGCCGCATCCCACTGGGATTGATTAACGGCGAAAACTATCCTTTATCCCTTTAGCCTTTGTCATCTTCATCACCTTCTATTCGGACTTTAAAGCATGGGCAATACCTCAAATGTCAGGAAATTGCGTTTTGCTTGTATTGTCATGTTGTCCGTTTTTATTGTCATGTTATGTGGGAATGCGCGGCCTTTGAGCGATATTGCAGAAGCACCACAGTTGCTCTTGAGTTCTAGCCCATCATCTTCGGTTCTTATTTTGCAGCACCTATAAAGTTATCCGCATGAAGCAGTTGCGTTGTACTTGTATTCCAAAGCGCAATTTCAGGAATTGGCAAAAAGCCAAGAGAGCTGCACGCGACCGCGCCGCGCGGATGGTGTTAGCATAAACGTGAGGGCGGTGTAGCAATTACGACTTTCCCAAGGCCCCTTACTCTGACCCCATGCAGTTTTTGCGGGGGGACCACGACACATCGACAGCCGGGGGGCTGATAGTCTCATACACCCTCAATGTGTTTGAGCGTACCATGTGTCTTTAAGGAACATCGTTGTTGGGGATTCCCCATCAGGGGGTCGTAATGAGTGGGGCAGTCAGTAACTAGCAGCGCAAAGGTTTCAGTGATCTGATTTTTCGAAACTTGCTTTGTAGAGAACCCCAATATGTAAAAAAATAGTAAACTTTCATCAACTGAGCTATTCCATAATTAACTGGAAATATTATTAAGTTGACGTCATTTCGTAAGTACGTATATGACTAAGCAGTACGACTTATACTCTGGTTCGCTGCGGTGGGGCGTATCCGCGTGAACGCCCATGGCGCGGCGCTCACCTGTTTTTCTTTTTCTCTCGTCAAACGGCAGGAATACAGGACAAGACTGTAAACAGGTGTGGGTTAGCCATGGACCTCCTTGAATCCCCAAATTTCAAAACTACTCACGTACTCCAGGCCTTATGAAGAAAAATGTGGACGGGGAAGCTGCTCATGCTGCAGTGATAGAAAAATATGTCAACTTAGGAACGGTACATTTGATAGCATGTCAGGGATGCGGGCAAAAGTACATTGGAGAGACAAAGAGGCCACTCTACAAACGACTAGATGAACATCGCAGGGCCCTACTCAATCCAGCTTTGTATCCGGACCACAGTCTCTACCGCCCCCAAATGCATGCCCACGAACGTCCTCCCGCACTTACCATTACAGAATTACACCGCTCCATAGAGAACCCGGTGGAAAGAAAGCTATTGGAAACACTGGAAATAAGAAGGCTCTCCCCGGAAATGAATAGTAGGGTTGAGCTACGTGACGCGCTGCAGTTGATTCACTGACTACGTGATAATGGTGGAGCGGTCAGTGATATCATGTGCAGAAGCGCTCACTAGGCATCCTTACTATTTAAGGAGGGTAATGGGTAGGGTCACAGTCACCACTGGAAGGCGCGGCGTTCGCAAGGAGCAGCGGCGGCATGTTGTACTACTGGAGGCAGCAGACCAGGTCAGAGTCCAGAACGGAGGCACCAGTGAAGGCAAGGTTCAGGATTCGGGTGCAAGCGGCTAAACGTAGTATTTCAGATCGCTGAAGAAGATGCTAGGCACCGAAATATTCAAAGAAGAAGGAGTTCGAACAATAAAAATTTTTGTGGAAACTTTTGGATTCTTTTGAATCTTTTGAGTCTTTCGCAATAAATTTTGGCGCCTCTTTTATGTGTTTAACATTCAGGTTATAATTTTTGTAATTTCCACCTGGCTGAAGTGGGCCATATGGCTTCCACGTCAGATGAAATGACACGTGTATTAGAACAGTGGAGTTCATCTAAACCAAATTCCCGTGAACAGAGGGAGCAATTTTGCTGGATCCTTCTTGTGAACCTGCGGCATGCTCGAAGTTTCACTCGTACAGAAATTCTTAGGCTGGGTGACCGGTGCTGGGAGGTGCTCAGATGCTGGGTGTAGTTTCCAGCTTGGCACTGGTTTTCTTCCCCGTTGGTGTTGGAAGAAAATGCAAATAAAAGGCGAAAAACAACAAACCTTAGAAGGGGGGGGGGTCGTATCGATCCACCTTTTAGGGTGAGGGGGGTGGGGGGGGGTCGTACGAACTCGACCAAAATCTCCAACCAAAGATGTGTTCTGGTATCCAGAGAGGAAGGGAACTCAGGTGTGGCCACCACCCCCAGGCAGCTACCCGTCGGCGGTGACTCGCGCGACCAGGCTACAGTACTCCACACCAAGAACCTGGAAGGGCCACGGGGTGTATGCCGGGTGGCGTGCCTGACAGCTGTTATACCGTGTTGGGACGCTGCTGGCCGTAACTGCCACCTCCACCGAGCCTC